GAGGTGCGGTAGTACACACATGTGACCTCAGAAGGCTAGGGCAGGGCAATCTCAGGTCTGAGGCCAGTGTGAGCTGTGTATTGAGACCCCTGGCTCAAAAAGAAAACAATAAAATGAGCAGCTTTTCCTTTAGTTATAACCATTGAAATTGTCACCTACCATTTGCTTTTCTAGTCCCCTTTCCAAGATGTTTTGCCAAAGTCCAGAAATCTTTTCAGGATCCACATTTTAAGAGATTCATTTTATTTAAAATGTAATGGTTGTTTGGTTAATGGATCAATTGATATGTGTGTGGTGTGTGTATGCAATGTGTGTGTAAGCAAACGTGTGTGCAGCTGATGTGTGTTTAGGTAGAGGCCACTAGAGGATGCTTTATCTCTTGAAGTCACGGGCATCTGTGGGACACTGAGCTTGTTCTGTGGGTGACGTCATCTGATTGAGCAGCAAGTGCTCTTAACCACTGAACCATCACACCAGTCCAGGGGTCTGCGGTTGAAGTGAACTGTAGATACATGGTTTTCCTGGAAGAACACTGTAAGGACAGATGCCATCCTGCCGCCCACCCACTCATGCCAATTTCACGACCCCATCTGGTAACTCTGGAGCTGGCATTGTAGGGAAGACCTAGTTTTGCCTGTCACTGAAGCAACAGAACTTCCTCACCTCCATGGACTTCCTGAAGATTCAAAGGCACTACCTATATACAATGTTTGTACATGATATTATACACATACACATTCTATATTTTGTAAATATATAAATTTACAAAAAGTATCACTAAAAATGCACACAGAGCCAGGAAGGCTCTCAGCACAGTGACGGGCAATCTCTGGGATTATTTTTGAGGGTGATTTTAGTAGTTCTGTTCGAATGATGCCTTTTTTTGAAGACTGCTATTTTTCTGAGTAGCACATATGTCAGTAGAGCAGAATAAAAGCCTAATAAAAACATATCTGATTATAAATGAGATTTTCCAGTAAGTTGCTCTTCACTAGCGAGGGCATTTGGCATCATCCTTGAGAGCCAAGGTTCCCAATGATCTGCCTGAGAAGTTAACGACCTAGTTCCCCATGACAAAGAAGTCTGGATCCAAGGGTATTATATAGTTTTGTGGGTTTTTAAATATTCATTTTAACAGTCTCTTGCTCCTCAAAGTGTTCCCCTCTCAAATAGTTTCCTACGTGCCTCTGACGGTGCCATCTATATGCACAGACACCTATAGAGGCTGAAAGGGCCAGCTATGGGGGGTTAAACTCATCCTCCAAATACACAGTGAACGTCACATGCTGCTTTGTTATCGCTGTCACAAAGAGAGAGGGCAGAAACACAGTGCCTGCTGCTGCGAACAACCTGACATAGGACAGCCGCAGCCCCCTTGGGAGTCCCCCTTCTCCGTCCTGTTGGTCATAGAAGTTTCTGTCAGGATTGGTACTGTCTAGACCCAGCATCCTATGATCTCATCTTCTTCCGTGAAGCTTGGCAGTTGAGACTGAGCATAAACTCATAACACTAAGGGCTGCCTGGTCTCAACAGACTTGTTAGACCCCAGTTATAGAGACTTCCCTAGACAGTGGGGAGGGAAGACTGAGAACTTTTTTTTTGAGTTTTTTATATTTTTTAATTTATTTTTGTTTGTTTGTTTTTTTTTGAGAAAGTAATTTTATTAAATTATAAAAGTTTCCATTTCCGCCCCTCCTCCCAACACCCTCCCACTCCCCCCACTCCCTCTCCTCCTCCCTCTCCATCCCTAAGAGCAGTCAGGGTTTCCTGCCCTGTGGGAAGTTCAAGTTCCTCCCCCCTCCCTCCAGGTCCAGGAAGGTGAGTATCCGAACAGACTGGATCCCCAAAATCCAGTATATGCAGAGGAAACAAGTCCCAGTGTCATTGTCAATGGCTTTTCAGAAAGACTCCGGGCCAGCCACATTCAGAGAATCCGGCCACATTCAGAGAATCTGGTTGGATCATGTCCTCGTTCAGTCCCAGTCCAACTGGCCTTGGTGAACTCTCATTAGATCAGTCCCCTTGTATCAGTGGGTGATTGCATCCCTCGCAGTCCTGATTTACTTTTTCATTTTTCTTCCTCCTTCTGCTCCTCATCTGGACTTAACTCCCTAGGTCCAAACGAGAAGCAGAAGGAAAGAGAATGTGAGCAAAGAAGGCAAGACCAGAGGGAACCTTCATCCGACGATGGATGGCGATACAGACGGAGTCCCACATTGGAGCACCGGACTGAGCCCCCCAAGACTGAGAACTTTTAACTCCCTAGATTTGTATATAACTGCCTTAAGACTGTGGGGATAATAACTTCACTTTCCTTCATCTTGAATTTCCTCAACTGAAAAGTGAGAGAATTCGAGCAAATTTCTCTCAAATGTTTAAAACCATTCTCATGTTCTGTGGGGGTGTATTTGTGGTGCTGAAAACCAAGCCAAGGGTCTCCAACCCAGGGCCTGGTGCATACTAGACACAGGCTCTGTCAGACAGTCCAGCCCTCAACTCCTTAAGTTTAACTTGCAAAAATTATCATCTGCAGGGAATTTTCTTTTATCTTTGGACATTACAGCCAAAGTTTAGGAGGGTAGAGAAAATGCGATCTGTCAAGAAATAGCTCCACTTTGACCATGGAGAAACATTGAATTAATTTGCTACATTTTTTATGTCCTGTGAAAAGATCTCTCAGCTCCCTCTTCTATCCACCATCTTTTGGGATAGGAAATGTTCCCTTTCTTCTCAACATGATGGAAGCTGGCTCTGTTCATGTCATTTTAATCCCATGACTGAGTTTGGTTTCATGATTCTAAGACTTTCTCACTTGAAGCTCTAACTATTAAACGTTTTATCATTGGAGAACTTGTTCAGATGACGCTACTCAGTTGCACATCGGAGACCTGGGACTGTTGGCGTGTACATACTTAAGTGGGCATGGCGGGAACATGCCATGAAGGTCAAAGGACAACTTGCAAGAGTCAGTTTTCTCCTTCCGCCATGTAGGCTCAGGGGCTCCAACTCCATTTGCCAGGCTAGGCAGCAAGTTTTCATTAACTGTTTGAAAGAGGATTTGGAAGGTGGTGGGAGGTCTAGAGGAAGAATTGAAAAGAATTGAGGATGAATTTTTCTCAGATCGCATTATATGATTGCATGAAATTCTCAAACAATAAAGAATAAAAGGGGATTTTTCTTGCAGTGATGTAGCCAGCTCCACAATGCACCTCCACTCTGTATCGAAGATGGCACATCCCTTCCGCAGAACTTTTCCCCCCATGGTGCTGGAGACAGAACCCAGAACTTGGCATGCTAGGCCACTCCCACCAGTAAACTATCCCAAGCCCTTTTCTTCTTGGCATTTTTTAAGAAAAGTTCTCTATAAGTTGCCCAGGGTGACCTTGAACTTGCTATGTAACCTAGGGAGGCCTTGAACTCACAATCCTTCTGCTTCAGTCTCCCACGTGGCTGGGTTAAAAGGCTTAGGACACCAGGTCTGGCTTACTGTGCTCTTCCTTCATACAATGTACGGTGCTCCCCAGTTTGTGCCAGTTAGAGTCCAGGCTAGAATATCTGATCGGACTTGTCTTAGGTAAATCTTGCACTGTTTTTAAAGCTCTAAGGGTGGCCATGAAGCCCTAGCACAGCAACTAGAGCCCAGATAAAACCAATGGATGGAGAACAATTGTAAAACATGAATAGATTTCTGAATTAATATTTTTTTCATTTATTTACCAATGTAACATATATTTAGCGTTTACTGTATATGAGGCACTGTTGCAGACACTGGAAACAAAGGAGTAAAGAATAATGGACCAGAGAGCTCTATTCTCAAGAAGCTTGCATTCCAGTGTATGGTCCTTAAAATGTCTGCACCATATGGAATTCTATAGTTAAATAAGTTTAAACGAGCTTTTATCTCAGGCCCTTCAAAGGGCTGACCTGATGTAGGTGTAGTGTCCAAGCGAGCTGTGTGGTGACCAGCTATGCTTGAACCAGGGAACCTGTTGATGAGCAACATCAAGACAGCTGTGGGCTGAGATGCACTTTGAAAAGACACTTGTCCCAGTCTTTAAAGGACTCTCGTTAGTAAATGTCAAGAGGGTGAAAACTCGGGAATTGCTTCTTAGAATGCTCATGATGTCCACACTCAGTTCTTTCTCTTTGTCATGACAAAAATGACAGGTTGTGTAAGGTTTCCAAACAAGGAGTGAATTTCCCTCTATTCATAACTTTAAGATATACCTCCTTAGTCCTTTCCATTTGTCTGGAGACGTATAAGCATAGGCATGGTATGTGTGTGTGTCTGGATGTGTGTGTGTGTGTGTTTGTGTGTGTGTGTGTGTAAAACACTTATGCATTGTGCTACTTGCTTATACACGCCAGCCGTCTCCTTTAATCCTCCCAGTAAGTCTGTGAGTTAGCAAACGAAATACCCAAATTGTCCCTTGGGAAATGGAGGCTCCAAAGACGTTAGTAGCTTCCTGCAGGCAAGTACAGCAAGTAGACAGATGAGCTACAGTTTAGACATGGCTACTGCTTGACCCTGTACCCTATGAACTTAAACACTGAGATGGCAAAATTGTTATTCTTCTGAGCTGGAAAACAAATCTTCATCTTGAATTTCCTGCCAGGGAGTTTGTCTTGTCTTGAGTTTCCCGTGTGGGGTGATGAGAGAAGATCCTGAAGTCGCCTGCTTTTTGTCTGTCCTTGCCTGCCTCCTCTGACTTCCAGTGTCAGGGCGGCTTCACAACACACTGACTGCACTGTGTTCTGTTTCATGGATCTATACTGTCCTTTGTTATAAGTACATTTAGAAATGATTGCAGCTTCCTCTTGATGTCTCAACATTTTTAGGTGATTTATTTTGATAGTTCTTTAGCCTCGTGATTTCAAATATTAAGTTACTGAGTTCAGGTGGTCTTATATTTTCCGCACAAATGTGTTTATGTCACTGCACAGACGGAGAAATTTCATTCCAGGGGTTTCTCCCCTTCTTTCATTTGATTTCCCTGCAGGAGGAGAACGGAGTTCTTTGAACTTGTCAGCAAAGGAGACTACGATTGGAACATCAAAAGCCACCGTGATGTGTTTCGGTAAGAAAAAGCACGCATGTGGGTACACCTTGCATTATTGGACAATTTAGTCACGCTTTTTCTGTGCACATCGGATAAGTCAGATGATCAGCTGAACAGAACCTAAGTAATTCTCCCAATTTGTCGGAGTAGGCAGCCTCACGGGGACTCTTCCCTGTGCAGTAGACACCTCTGGGGTGTTACCCATGGTCATGCTCCCAGCTGCACTCACAGAACCCAAAATGAGACCCTCAGAGTGTGTGAAGCAGTCTGGTAGCTTCGTGATAAACACAGAATCCTGAACCCTTTATTCTCCTTGAGACAGTTACTTAATCTCTCCTCGCTTTGGTCTGTAAATAAGAAGAATAGGGTCCCCCTCTGAGGCCGTAGGTTTTGTCAGTCAGCGGTCAGTCCCTTAGCTAGGACAGCCCCTAGGACAGAAGCAGAGGGAAAGCCAGCACTGCCAAATGCTGCTGCAGAGGATCAGAGTCCAACAACAGACCAAGCTGTTCCCCTTCGCACAAGCTTAGCAAAGGGGTGTTTGGATAGTGTTCTGGTCCAAGGGGGTGGCTGAGGCTGGCGCTGCCTGGCTCGCCATGAATGACCCATTGTTAGCTGGGACCCTGCCCACTCCAATCCTGCTCCACCATCTGGGCAGCAGACATGTTTCCAAGACATTGAGATCCAGCAGGGTTTAAAAGTCTAGCTGACAGCAGGACGGCCCTCTGACCTCTCACAACACATTCTTTCTTCCAAAAGCAGCCAGCTAGCCAGCCGACCGGCGCACCTCCCGGCTCTGGCTCCGGCTCCGGCTCTGGACTGTTTACTCTTTATCGTGTGCTCCTATTGTTAGCTGAAAAACAGCAGACGAGAGACGAAAGATACACCTTAGCTTTCACCCGCCCGCCACATCTGATAATGCTCTCTCTCAATGATTTGAGTTATCTCCAGTGTATCCACGGTTCAGTGTGAATCTTAGTTAAATCCGCCCCTGGAAAACCTGATTCACGTTTGTGTCTGTGTCTTAGCGGGCAAGATTTAGGAATGCCTTAGCTGGGTATGGTTTGGTTTGTTCGTTTGTTCGTTTGTTTTTTGAGAATGTGAATAGAGCATGGTGGCCGCCAGGTAGTAACCCAAGTGACACAGTGTGGCTCCCTCGGGGGGAGGTGGGGGGCGGAGGGGAACCCTGGCTCTGTGGAACTGTGAACAGAAAAGAGCACCCTACACAGCGTGAATCTCACCTCTGTGGTGTGAATTTCTGTCCTTTGTCGTTAGTGTTAAGTCAGTAAGCTTACTCATCAGCCACGCAGGGTGATATACTGATCACCTTGCTTATGGTTAAGCTGGGGGACAGGCAGGGAGCCCCCACTGCACATCATTTTATCCACAGCCTGCTTGCCTGCTTGCCTCAGGTGTAGACAGAGGGCTCTCCTGCTCTCCTCAATTTGCCTCAGACGAAACAAAAGGGCGACCGGGAGGATGTGAGAGGCCTTTGTCTCCCAGGCAGCCTGGGAGAGGCACAACTGGGCGACTTTAAACAACGTGGCCCCTTGTGGAGGGAAGATGTGGGCTGACCCCAGTTCCGTGTTATTTATTTATGGATCTAGGGTGAGTTTGCTTAGGAATGCAGCAGAGGAGCGCTCAGGCTGTTCGGTTCTGTTTTTCAGATCAATGTTAATGACAGCCTGTGACCTTGGAGCCGTGACCAAGCCGTGGGAGATCTCCAGACAGGCAAGTGGTGATTAATGGCAGAGCTCAGCAGAGGAGAGACTGAAGGGGGGGGGGGGGGGGCGCGGAGCACCGAGAACAGTCTTTGCCTAGGTGCTGGCATGGAGCTGCAGCCTGCGAAGTCGGAAGGCCATCTTACCCCACACTCTTTCTTCCTGGGCTTCTATTTCTGGCTGCAAGATTTTTGTAATGTGCTAAATCTGAAGAACCCTTTGACCATCCTCAAGGCAAATGGTTCACAAAAAAAAATAAAATAAAAACAAAAAAAAACTGTTTTTGAATAAGTAACCTTGTGTTAGCACAAGATTCTGTTTAGCACTCATGAAACTCTGTTTTGTTTTCAAGTACTAGTTAAACTTCAGAGGGCTCTATGGCCAAAGCGTGCTATGTCCCATTTAATTTTTATCAAGACTAATTGTTATTTTACAGTTTCTCAAAGCACCCAAGCATTGCATTTTTTTTATGTAATGGTAGTTTTGAATATAATAGCTCCCTGGCTACTTGACTACCAAGATCCTTGTTTACTAAGAGGGGTCAATAGCTCTTTAGGTTTCTTCCCCCTCTTTAACTTAATCTTATTGTATTGTTTTTCTTGAGGCAGGATAACTCTATATTTTCAAGGCTGTTCTCAAATTCTTTGGTTCAAGTAATGCTCTTGCCTCAGCCTCCTGAGTGCAGGACCAATCAACAACAAACTCTCTAAGTTTTGTGCGATACCTTTTAGGGGGGACTATAGGACCCTAAAATGAACTTTTGAGGGAGATAAGGTATATTCATATAATAATAAATGATTGGTGTGTATGTGTTGTTTCATTTCATGTATGGTAGGTAGTTAGTACAAAGGCTGAGTAACCACAACTCAAAGATACCGTGACATGATCCCAGAAACCTCTAACCATTCCCTGAGAAGAAAAGGACAGTTTTCTGCTTGCAAGGGTAGATGTAAGGATTTGCTGAGGGAGAAGAACCTGGCCATCCAGATGGGTCCCAACTCCCATCACAAATGTCCTTGTTAAAGGGCAGAGAAAGCTCAGAATTCAGAAGAGAAGGCAACATCAGAGTCCAACAAATACTGAAGTGATAATGTCTACACCCTAAGAAGTGCTAGCAGCTACCAAACACTGAAAAGAGGCAAGGATCAGACGGAGTCTTCAAAAGGACACACTGCCAACCCCTGGGCTTCTGCCCATTACCCTGATGTAAACCACACTGCCAACTCCTGGGCTTCTACCCATCAGCCTGATGTAGAGTAACACGGCCAAACAACCCCTGGTCTTCTGCCTGTCACCCTGATTTGAATCACTGGCCCCAAGAACTATGCAGGAATAGCTTCCTGTGTCTTAGCCACGGAGTTTGGAGTGAGGTTTTTGGAGTTTTAGGAAATTCATTTGCTTCACACATGGGAAGGATGGGGCTTAGAAAGGATAAACAGCCCAAGGTCTTCTATAGAGAGCAGCTGCTGACATAGACAGAGACTTGCCCTTCTCCTCCTTGTGTCCTTGAGAGTCACTGCCCTCAGACTAACACAGTAACCATTCAGACCAGAAGTTCATCACCAATGGACTACTTCCGCGGAAACAGTCATTGGTGACCTTCACCCTGGGAAAGGGACAGTTCCTAAGTCAGAAATCTGAATAAAAGACTAGCCAAGATATACAAGCTCACACTAGATGTAACCTTTGAGTTTGAAGTCAGAGCTTGTTCTTGGAGTGGAGAGACAAGGGGCTGGAGTGTGACCCATGATTCCTTGGGTTACGCAAAAAGTGAACAAGACACAGACGTACAAGATGTAAGACCTCCAGGAAACAGAGACAGGAGCGCGGGGACAGAAGGAAGAAGGCTGAGGGCTGCCAAGGCCATGGCTGGAACTGGAGAATGGCTAACAGCAGCAGGGAAAGCTGAGACGGCGCAGATTTCTGAGGAGGAAACTTATAACCAAAACACATAGAATAGATCCCAGCAGATTAGAGCCACATAGAATAGATTCCAGCAGATTAGAGCCACACTCTGATTCACAAAGGGCTGAACTTTTCTCCTCAGCCCGGAACCACCTGCACTTTTAAACATCACGGCTTACACAGGTCTAACCTTTGACACATAATAGTGCCGCTTGCAAAACTCATGCCCAAGAGCCAGGCAATAAAGTTACAACAACAAAAATCTCATGTTCTAAGCGAGTTTACAATTTTTTGTTGGGTCACACTTGTAGTGACTGGTACCTCTGCTCTCATTCTGGACTGAGCTGTTGGACCAACCGAGGAGAGTCTGACAGTAGAAATCAAATGTCTTCGGTAATCCACCGGTCCAGACTTTTCACGTGAGAGTACTCTGCCAGGAGCTACAATCCGTGCCTATGCCCGGTCAGAAGAAAGTCAGAAATCGTTTGTGAGAATGGAAACAGTACGGTCTGCGATTCAAATCACCAGAAATGTCACTCAGTGTCCTTCCAGACAAAGCATACCCATTCTCTCCCCCAGGGAAGGCAAAACGGGTGGCCTATCAGTCAGGGCGTCGGGCCCCAGTCTAGAATCTCAAGATGCTATGTGCCATCCCTACCATAGGTCTGGGCGTAACGTAAGGATCTAAATGTGCCTAGAATACAACATCAGACAGCCACCTCCACACACAGAATACCACCACAGTCCTCCCAGTCTGCAAGGGAGGAGATAAAAGGCATTCGAAGCCAATGGTCCGTGGAGATCCCCAGCCTTCCAGGCGTTCACCATGAAGTCTCCGCCAGCAGTGGGCCTGGCTCCCTGCGGGATGTTTCCCCACTCAGGCTTTCTTCCCATGGCTTTTTAGCTGCACTAGGAAAATGATTCCTTTTCCGCAATCTCCTATGACATTATTTGAAGGCTAGGTAGCTTTCTTGGCCTACTTCTCACCTGCAGAAGGCTACACACTGGCTTCATAGAGTCACAGACTTACGGTTGAAGTGTTCTTCAGCATTCAACCAAAACAAAAACACCATGGTTCTTCTCCTCTATATGAACATCTTAGATTCTTTTTGCTTCCTGACACTCAGGAATAGGCAAATGTAATCTGTTTCTCTCTTGTGTCTTCATCTGAGGACCCGAAGTCTCACAGCTTTCATAAAGGAATTATGTAAATTATTTTCTGAGCTATTTTTTTCTGTTTAAAAAATTTTGCTGGGCCAGATGGCTCATCAAGTAAAGGAGCTTGATGGCAGGACTGACGACCTGAGTTCTAGTCCCAGGCCCACAAGGTAGGTGCAAGCTGTCCTCCGACCTCCACAGGCAGTGTGGCATGCACACACACACACACACACACACACACACACACACAATTTTTTAGAAGTCATTTAAATTTATTTTTAAAAAGAATTTGCTGAAAGACACCTAATCCAGATATTTTATCCATAAGTACGCTGGCCATACCATAAATGAGATTCTTATTTCCACGGCTGAGTCTTAATTAATATTTCCATTTAAAGCATACCTTAATTTTAATATTTCTAGTTTGGAATCAAGCAGCAGCTTCATCCCCATTTCCACGAGACTGGATTTTTCTGTTCCCATTCATCCCCAAACCTGCTAATCCTCTCTGAGCTCTCTTCTAGAATGCCCGGGGAAGTTGTCCACAGCTATTACTGTACGCTGTCAGCATTTTGTTTGCCAATCACTTCTCCCAAAATGATACGTTCTGTAGGGATAGTGCTCACTCTCAGTGATAACTGCACAAACTTGTAGAAGAGACTGTCTGTCTTCTGTAAGGTCTCCTGTCTGTCTGTCTGATGCCTGGCCTCCAAGTTGATCTATGTCTTAAGGTCCCCACCCCCACTACGTGGCTCTCACCTGCCAAGGTCTCTCATGCACAGAATCATGACACTCTGTAAAAGTGGGGCAGAACTACTGGCCACCTGTGATCCCCGTACATGGAGGTGGGGCCAGGGCATCCCCAGAGCAAGCTGGCTAGCTAGACCAGCCAGAAGTGGCAAGCTGTGGGGGCAGCAAGAGGCTTTGTCTCAATAAAGTAGAAAATAACCAAAACTCTGAACATCTGCTTCTGGCTTCTACATGTACTTGCACACATGTGCACATACATTCTCAATCTCACATGTGCCAACAAATACATGCATGCACACACTTAAAATTAAAACGTAAACATATGCATTTGTGCATATATTTATATTAATATGTATATGTATAGTTTTCTTTTAATTACAATTAATTTTATGAGCCAGGTGGTGGTGGCGCACGCCTTTAATCCCAGCACTCGGGAGGTAGAGGCAGGTGGATCTCTGTGAGTTTGAGGCCAGCCTGGTCTATAAGAGCTAGTTCCAGGACAAGCTCCAAAGCTACAGAGAAATCCTGTCTTGAAAAACCAAAAACCAAAAAGATTTAATTTTATGTTATATGTGTGAGTGTTTCTCCTACCTGTGTATCTGTGTACCATGTGAGGGCATGGCACCCAGAGGCCAGAAAAGGGCTTTGAATCCCTTGGAACTGGAGTTACAGACAGTGGTTAGCAACCATGTGGGTACTGGGATTGGAACTTCTGTCCTCTGAAAGGGCAGTCTCTCTTAATCACTAATCCCTTAAAAACATATTTTGAGATAGAATCTTATACTGTAGCTCAGGTTGGCCTTAAAATCATGGCAATGCCCCTGCCTCAGCTTCTCAAGTGCTAGGATTACAGACAGGAGTCATTCAGAGATTATGTAAATGCATGCTAACTTCCTAGACGTTCATTTTATTTTTAATACTCCTTTTCAGAATGCATCATAGCTGTGCTTTTTTTCCACTCATCTTTCCTCAGGAACATGACTTGCAGTATATGGGTTTCCTAGTGGCCCCTCCTACTCCCCCACCTCCTTCTTTAATGAAACATCCAATCAGGAGCCACTTGATGATCCTGATGGGGTTTTTAAGTACAAATAAGCCAGGGGTTCAGGTCAAACTCTGAGGGGAGCAGAGGGGACTGGGCAGGGCTGCTCTAGGAGAGGAAGATCAAGAGTTCCCGTTAGGGCCTTTGCATTCCAAGGAGTACAGAGGATTCCTGCTTGGGGCAGCTTGCGTGCATTTATGTTAATGCAAAAGACACGCAGTTTCAGTTTCGCTATGGGAAGATAGCTCAGAGGTGAAGAACACTGGCTGTTCTTCCCTTCCAGAGGACCTGAGTTCAATTCCCAGCAACCACATGGTCAGCTCTTTTTCTACAATGATCCTGAGAACCACAGACTTTCAAATGTGTCTCTGGATCACCCAAGGTCGCGGATGAAAGTAGGGGACGGGGTTCCTGCGATTGGGGATGGAGCATTGCATTATGGGTACAATGGAACGGAAATGGTGAAATCAGTTAGCATGTGGTACTTACACGCAGGGCAATTCAAGAATTAAGCGAATAACAATTAGGGCCTACCATAAATTAGTGCTTTCAGTACAGATTCAGACAGCCCGAAGGCCAGGCTCTTCAAAATAAGAACATTTCTTTGCACGGAAGCCAGAAATCACTTCTGAGTCTCATGGTGTCCTGCACTACAAACAACTGAAAATGCTTCTGTGTTTCAGGTGGCTGAACTTGTAACCAGCGAGTTCTTTGAACAAGGAGATCGAGAGAGGTCGGAACTCAAGCTCACTCCCTCGGTAAGCCGGTCCTTTCACCATCACGGTAGCTCCAAACCATGACTTGAAATGGGAAGGCTGAGAAGGGGTTTGGAGAAGTCCCGAAAGCTTCGAACTATAACTAAACAGGAATGCTAGCCACCATGATCCCAGTTTCTGACTGAGATTGCCGAACAAGCATTTCCCGGGACCCACAGCGGGACAGCATGCAGGGCAGAGCGGATCGAATCTTGGAGTCAGCGCGGGCACATTTCACGCATGCCCACTTTAGAGCAGAATAGCAGCCTAGAGTTAAAGTCAAGCTGTCCAGCCTCAAGGAACAAGCTGGGTCTTATTTTTCAGTTCCAAACTTTCAAACTCCCCAAAGCAAATCATTTCAAACCATTTTTTTCCTTTGTTTTCAAACTGAAACGTGGGGAATCCAGGTTGTAGGGTGGTCAGCAGCATGCTATTTATGTTGGATTACCTGATACAGTCCTTATTTGGGAATGCTGATCATAATCTGGGAGTGCCTTTCCTGCCTTTAAGATAAAGAAGCTTATACCCACCCTCGGGAAGGGGCCAGCTTCTTCAGTCCTAGTGAGCAGCTGAAAACAGCTTCCCTGGTCACTCCAAGAGTGGGTGAAGTATTGTAAATCTACCAGGCAGCACACAGTAGGCTTACTGAAGCACGAAGTGGGTGTCAGTTGTCAAAGGTCTCTTTGAGGTTCCAGTCCACCAAGTCTCGAACGTTAGAAACTATCAGTAAGATTTTTGCATTTCCACACACCCACACACCAGAGAAGGCGGCAGGGCCCTTTTCCATCTTGAGCAGTTTTGCATGGATGGAATCCCAGCCGGCAGTCTTGCCGAGGCTGATGACTCAGCTAGTTGCTTACCAGTAAAAGGCCAGAGGACCACACATGTTGACATACTGTCCAAGCCTGGCAAGCTGAGTGGAATCCCAGATCCCCTGGTTAAAGGAGAGAACCAACTTCCGACAGCTGTCCTCTGACCTCCACCTGCCTGTCATGGCATCATCATCCTCAATGTAAAAAACAAGGCTTAATATAATAAGTCCGACATGGAGTTGCCATGTAACCCATTCACTTCTAGGTTTATCCCCAAAGGAAATAAAAAGAAACCACACCCACACAAAAATTTGCGCACAACTGTTTACACCAGCTTCACTCCTAGCAGCCAAAAAGTGGCAACAGAGCAAATGCCCGCCAACTGATGAATTAATAAACACAATGTCTGCATTGAAGTATAATGCGGCAAAAATGAGTGGGGGAAGTTCTGGCACTTGCTGCCTCATTAGACCTTTAATATCATGCTACATGAAAGAAGCCAGTCCTAAAAGGCCATGCCCATATGACTCCATTTAAGTGAATGAAATAAATAACTCAGGTAGAAAAAGAACTATAGAGAAAATAAATCAGACTGCTGTGGTTGGGGCGTGGTCCCGCATTCTGAGGTTTCCTGTGCTGCAGCTCAATCCCCAGCGTGAGTACTGCGAGCATGGAAACTCCATCCACTCTGGGGGGGAGAGGCGTGGTCTTTGGGAGCTATGGGGATTAGAGAAATTCACGAGTCCCCGGAGAGCCCCATGATCAAATTAGAGTAGATTATAGGAAGCGGGAAGGCCCTGGAAGACATAAACGTGTGCTCCTTGTCTCGTGCCTTATGGTGTCCTGAGACTCTCGGGGCTTTCAGTAAGAAGGCCACCAACAGACGCTGGCCCTCCAGCCTCCAGAACTGTGAACCAAACAAACCTTTTTCTTTATCAGGTCTCTCCAAGTCTCGGGTGTTTTGTCATAAAGACACAACACGTATGGACACACAGACATTTTTAAAGGGACATTTCTGAAGCAAGCTCTATGTATTTCAGAAGAACTCTCACTTTCTCCAGTACATTCCACAGCCTTCTCTGAATCCCAGGCATCTCTTGGAAAAGATGAGCAGAGTGTATGGAATTCAGTGGCTTTCTGCCTACTGTAGGTAGAGATGGTTTCCTCAGATTTGGTACCTAGCATTGTCTACCACACACACTCCTTCTGTGGTTCATCAGTCTAAAGGATGCAGCCTTTCCAACATCTCAGGACTCAGGTTGAGGCTTGGACTTGCCCTTATGACTGCCATAGACACCAGGATGATGTGGGTGCCACATTTCACCTCACCTTTTATAAGGCAAGACAAATTCTAACTAGGCAGTGCCCTCTTCCTGATCAATGGACAGAAGGTAATGTCATAGGCCCGGGCCTTACTTTTTAAGAACAAAAGGAAGGACATTCTCCCTGGAGTTGAGCTGACTGTTTATTAAAGGAATTCATTTTAACCCTCTAATTCCTGTTGACCAAAGTCTTCCCGATAGAAATAAATCACTCCGGCTTTTAGAAATACACAAAAATTATATCAAGCATAATAATGTCATAAAATTTAAAGGCTGGGCTGAAGAAAGGATGAATGCCTGCCTCTGCCATCCATCCAAAGCAAGTTCTTAGTACCCTACTAATAGCAGAATGTTACTAGAAAACACGTGATTGCCGCATCAGCGCCCAACTGTTAAAATCTCATAAAATAATTTGTGTTTCATAAGAGGGAAAAAAGAAAAGAAACCCTGCTGCCAAGGATCTTTTCCAGTCTCAGACATCTTCTCACCGCGGAAGTAAAAACCTGCATTATTTTTGTGGCAAAAAGATGTATCTCCTTCCCCTTGACTTCACCCAGTTCCCACTGACCTGGTGACTTGATTTAGTAACCATTACCTGTGCCTGCAGACAGCTTTTGGCCCCAAGGAACTGAACGCCATAAAGTTCAAACAAATTCACTTGCAAATCTCATCTTAGGAGATCTGTGAAAATACTTTATTTCTCATCGTAGAGAAAGGGAAAGAGGCTGTGTGTAAGGCCATAATTTGTGAAGTATTCAGCTGGTGTCATCTGACGCGCCATTTGACAAAGCATTTGAAATGCTCCAGTGGATAAAGGCGAGGCTTCTGCTTCTCTCTCCTAGGCTATTTTTGACCGGAACCGGAAAGACGAACTGCCTCGGTTGCAGCTGGAGTGGATTGACAGCATCTGCATGCCTTTGTATCAGGTACTGCCAGCTTGTGAGTGTCTGTGTGTCCTGCCCGAGGCCACAGAGAGCACGGGTAAGGTTTTCAGAAACGTTCGAAGTGGGAGATGCTTGCAGGGTACAAGTCAAGAGCTGGTGCTTCGAAGATGGGGGACCTCAGGTCTCTACTGCTTTCTAAAATGTCATCTCCAGACCTCACCTTCCTTGTCTGTAAACTAGGGATTATAATAGTTTGTCTCTACATTCACCAAATGGTGCTGCCATGAAACTCAAAGACGCAGCCATAGTCAACACCATCTCTCTAGAACACAGTTCACAGGCCTGGTAACTAAGGAAACTCCCATATACATTAAAGTATTGAGGGCTTAGAGAAATCTAGTGTGAGAGAAGCATACTTAGCCTTGATTAACCCTGAATTTCTCAGATATAAATCTATTTTGCTTTTAATTTTTATTAATAGCATGTGAAACACAGACTTTCATCGAACAGGCCTTTCTGCTCTGACCCCAGGGTCTGGGCCACTGGGTTTTGTATGGGAAGGATCTTCCATCTTCAAAATTTGCCTTTGTCTTTAAGCAAACGTAACTGTGCCAAGCCGTGAATCCTGAGCGGTGCCACTAATGAGTTCTTGCCTTGCTGCCTGGTGCAGAGCCTGCCCGGGGCAAGGAGACATGTGTCAGCTTCGAAGGGTTCACATTCCGCTTTTGGAACGCTGAACAGGGCCGGCATCCGTTTGCACTAACAGTTTCGTGTACATTGGTTTTTAATTCTATGGCTAAGCATTTGCTTTCATCTGTACACCCCCCGACGAGTTCTTTACCCCCAACCTAGCTCAATCCGTCTGAGCCACGTTCCTAACTTCCAAGTGAGATGCACGCAGGGAAAGCTAAACCTCTTTAGTGTCTCATTCCCTGCTACTTCATTAAGGACCCAGGATGGTTTTTTAAGGACATCACAACCATTAAGTCCCAGACTTACCCACCACTTCATTTTCAGTACTGTTACGAGCTACAGAGACCTGTCACAGTCCCCTGAAAACAAACAAATTAGAATAGTGTCTTTGAGACCGAAATGTGTTTCTAATAACCACAAATGATAAAAGTAAATTCACTTGTTGTTTTGTATGAACCATTAAATGCCCAGTATCATAAAATCAATCAGATACAGTTTTAAGATAATCTAAAATCAATTGTTATGGTTACAAATGACTATAATATTCTCTCATCTAATAATGAAAGATTGGACAAGAAACATTGAGAATGATGTAGTTTGTTATAAAGAGGACCCTAACACTCTTTTCTTCCTGACTGCTCCCCCACCCTTGACACGGAATAAGCAGGCTCCCACGTAGAGTCCGTGGGTGCTGGGTCAGGTACCTTTTGCTTTGCTGAGTTTCCCTTGGTTGCCCACATGGAATTATGGTTTAGTGTTACTCGGTGCCCCGTGCATAGGCTTTAATGGGATGGATACATTACTCTTTTAATTGATAAATTTCTCTTGGAAGGAAGTAAAGCTCAATTAGCTTCACGTGCTGCTAAGGGCCTGCATGCGGCTCCCACCCCGAGTCTGTTGCTTCATTTCTGATCCCCAGCTCTTTGAGCTCATCCTGTATTTGCTACTAGGTACTCTGGAATCTTTTGGTTAAAAAGGAAACTACTTGATGTTAAATAGAAAAGGTAGTGTTGACGATTTAGAGAACAGTATTTCCACCGTGCATCACGCAGCATCTCGATTTTTTTTTCCTTACTCATCTCTGAGGTTAGACACACCTGCTGTTTTCGGGAAAGGGAACACACAGACCCAGTGATGCCCCTGCAGATTTAATCTGTGTCCTTCTGCACCTCGGCCTTTGCTTTCGTGTGGAGGCTTCCCAATGACCTGGCTCTCTCGACTTTTCTCTCAGTAAAAAGTCACATCCCCCTGAAGGAGAAGATGGAGAAAGTTGCTCATAAAGCTAATCCTCAACATTCACTGCTGTTGTCGCTCATGAACGGGCAATGAAAAACTTGCTCTCTATTGGTTTCTTATCACCGCCATTGCTTTTAGTGCACAATTTCTGCTATAAGTTCTTTGGAAGGCTTTGAAACCAGCTGAGCCGTCAAACTGCAAGTGCAGCCAGCACCAAAAGCATCTCTGTCGAGTTCTATCTTACACGTCATGCAGTGGACAATCGCACACTAACTGATGCTGCCCCCCAAATGAAATGGAATCAGTCACTGGGCGGGAACTGCAGCTACTGGAAAGACAACAGTCTTAAGGAAATAGCCAGAAAAGTCACTAAAATGGCACTGGATCCTTAGGCAAAGTGTTTGGGACGAGTAGGGCTGCTGCAAACAGGCCATTGGGGTTTTGAACTTAGACATGCAAAAATGGGGCTCTGAGAGGGCAGGCGACAAATGAGGTGGTATACAGATGGCAGAGATTCCCACGGTGCATGGGCTAGAGGGACATTGTCTGAAACACAAAACAGAAGAATCCAGCGTAGTCTTGCTGAGATGACTGGGGACATGGCAAAGAATAGTAATCACAAGACACAAAATAGACATCTCCTCTAATGGCAAAATCACAGGCTCCAAGCCAGCAGGCGTGGACGGCAAGAGAGTTGTGTAGAGCCCAAGCAAAGGGATTGTGTTGGGAAGGAGGAGATGGTCCTTTGGGAGGAGCGCGGAGTGATGAGGCTGGAGAGTCTGGAGGCTGCCCTGTATAAAGCTAGGACGGCAGGGAGTTGGAGGAGGAGGGCGGCCATGCAGCGGGGCAGGAGATAGAAGTACGGTTGAAGAGCAGCCACTTTGCTCCATGGACTTTACTGGGTAATTCGGTTTTACTCTGTGACTTTCAAAGGATTCTTCTTGTTAAACATCCTATTTGATCGAGCACTTTCCACTTGTGCCTCTGGTTGTTGACTTCGGATTTCCTCCGAGCAAAGGGGAACAAGTGTCGTTGCTCACTCAGGTGCCCGAAGAGGTTCTCAGTGGGAACCCACACCAGAGCATTCTGATGCCCATTCGTTGAAAGAAAAAATCCAAATACTTGTCTCCTGGACAGTGTTAATCCCCAGGCAATCCGTAAGTATGTGGAAGGAAACGGAGGAATTCTCACACTAAAATCTATTCGTGAGATAGCTACTCAAGTAATAAATAATAGGAAATAAGAGGGCAAACATGGCTGACAGAAAATGCATGAAAACATACAGGGTTGGGGTGGTTGATTAATTATATAACTATTTCTATCTGAAATGAAGAGCAACCCCTTGTGACACTGCTTTCGCTCTTACTGCAGGCCAGGTGGGAGGGCACAGTGGGGACCAACCCCAGGTTCCTCATGGTTACATAAGGAGACATGACATATGTTTATCTTTTAAATCTTAGGGTTCCAAACTTTTGGAAAGAAGACAAAGAGAGGGTGGGGGAGAGAAAGCAGTCCAAACAGGCAGAAGTCATGATTTATCTGTGACAGCATTTTAATCAGGAAGCATATAGGAGGCCCAGAGCAGGCGGGGGAGCATCAAAGCGTGTTCCCCAGGAGAAGCGGAAAGCCCTGGTTAGTTAGCTCTGGCCTAGCAGGATGTCTTGGAGGAATACATTGACATCTGATTCCAGAGCTTTCTGCTGTCTTTACACCCTGCTGGGGAGCCATTAGCCTGCTGCTCAACATCTTTGGATTAAAAAAAAAAAAGTGAGAAAAAAGAAGGAGAAAAAAAGACACTATCAAAGTTTGAAGTCACTGCTGAGGCAGCCTTAGGGATAAACAGAACCCTCCTGTCTCATTCTGAGCTGCTGTTCACAGGAGCAAACTAAGTTTTTGCTCCTTATTTTTGTTCTCAACTTGAACCTCAGCATACCTAAGAACGGCAATGATGCACAGAGACGTGATAAATCTGTTCGTTCAAAATTGACAGTTTTTCAAGGTAATCAGATTTTCATCTCATTTCCAAACTGGCTTTTGATTTGGGGGATGGATTCCCTCACTGACACTGCAAAGGGGTTACCCTGGAATTGAATCCCCAGCACCTTGTAAACCAGCCCTGGCCTTGCACAACTAGAATCCTGTAACTATAATCTTATAGACCCGCAGTAGAGAGATGGAGGCGGGAGGACCAGAGCTTAAGGGCAGCCTCTGCCTTACAGTGAGTTGAAGGCCAGTGGGGGCTGTATGAGACCTTGTCTCAAAAAACAGTGACAGAGGTTTCACACCAGACAATACACTTGGAATCTCATTTCATTTATGTATTTATTTTAACTTCAGTTGTAAAGATCGTCTTGGAACTTACTGTTTTACTAGCACAGCTATTAATGTGCTCTCTAAGGAAAGTGAGAAGGAATACATTTGAGGAATAGGAAGATGGGTCAGCAGTTAAGAGCACTGTCTGCTCTCTCAGAGGACCTGGGTTCAATTCCCAGCACCCACGTGGTGGCTCACAACCACCTGTAACTCCAGTTCCAAGGGAGTCAACACCCTCTTCTGACCTTCAAGGTATCCAGGCACTCACAAGGTCACACACACTGCAGGCAACACACCCACTGTGCAAATTAGGGACAAAAGCAACTTGGGGAGGTGTATTTCAGTTTATAGTTCTACATTTCCAAACCATCGCTGAGGGAAGTCAGGACAGGAACTCAAGTGGGGCAGGAACCTGGAGGCAGGAATTGATGCGAAGGTCACGGGGGAAGGCTGCTTACTTGGTCCTCGTGCCTTGCTCACCCTGTTTTCTCATAAGATCCAGGACCACCAGCCCAGGAATAGCAACACCCAGAGTAGGCTGGACCCTTGCTCGTCACCATCAGCCAGAAAAATGCACCACAGTCTGGCCCAGAGGTGGGGACATACTTTTCAACTGAGTTCCCTCTTCCCAAACGACTCTAGCCTGAATGAAGTCGACATAAAGCTAGCCAGCACACCCATACACATAAAATAAATTTTTTTAAAATAATAAAATATACTATAATATACTTGAAATTGTGGAGGCTGCAAGTTAGGAACTAATAAACTAGAAAAGAGGTGATAAAAGGCAGCCTCTCTAG